CCCCTATACATTTTAGCCCTAAAACCTTCAAGCTTTTGCCTCCTCGTCAGCCACAGCCATTCTCAGTTGTTGCTTTTTTCCTTTTCACACACCTCATTCATCACCTTTAATAGAATCAGTTTCATTGTTTGCCAGCAGTGATCCTTTGGAGCTTCTTTGCTCTCTGCCTGGATTTCAGGATTTGTATTACGGAGGTGCTGCTGATCCTGTTTCCGGATGATAGGAGTGCTAATCTTCTGAGCGTGTGGCAGCAAAGTCAATTACAAGCCTTTTTATATTTCAAAGCAGCCTTAGCCAATTTAGGAACTCCAATGTTGTTGTTCCTGAGCAAATGGCAGAGGGATGGGCCAGATTCCAGAAAAGAGGTGGGGTATTTGAAGGTGGCCTCACGGGATCCATATCTGTTTTACAAGAAAAATGCAAGGGAGAAAATCACAAAGAGGTGGATCTGCTCCTTAAGCACAGCACACCTTTGCTTCATTTTGCACATGGCTCAGTAGTTCTTGCTGTCATAGACCTGTTCTCACCGTTTGTGTACTTGGCACACATTGTAAACCTTTTTGTGGCCAAGCACCTAACAAGTGGCTCTGCCTGCTTGTTTGGGTTGCGTGTGTTGTAACTGTCAAGCCTGTCAGTGTTTCTTCCACAGAGCTGCAGTCAAGAGGCAGTGAAGGTTGAAATCACTCGCCCACATGTTTCTAGGACTGAACATCAAGGCACGGTTAATAAGTATTTCCCACCTTACAGATGGGACGGATGTCGGAACGTGTGAAATGCCTCTGATTTCTACACGTTGTTTCTAGGAAATATGGCTGTTACATTGAAACTGGTGGATATTTATACCAGACTTGAAATCCTGAAAAAAAGAAAAAAAAAGAACCAAACCCTCCTGCTGTTTGCATATCAGTCACTACAAAGAAATAAAGAGCACCCAGGCATTATTTGTTCTAAAACTTCAGATTTTTAAAAGATTCTGAATTCAATAAAATAAATAATGACCATAAAACCAGGATCATTCTGAAACTAGACTATCCCATCAGCTATTATTAGCCTGAGAACAGAGAGTTGGCAGATTTGCAAATGGCCTTGGTAAGCAGCCCATCTTGTATCTGACTTGGCTTTGCATCAAAGCTGGTCATTTCTTTCTGCAGAGTTTGGATGGGGGGAAGGTTGAAACCATTTTTGGTACACCAAATCTTTACTCCAAATCATGGATGCCCCAAAACACTGGTGTAGATGCCTTGATGGATCTCTATTGGCTGCCAAGCCCAAGTGACCTCTATGTAACTGTTAGCAGGGGGCAAGGGCTTGAGGGACTTAGCCAGTCAGCTAGCCCACCCTTTCTAGGCCAACTCTGAAGAAGTACTTTGAAACTGAAGGTGTGAGACAAAAGATGCCACCCAGCTTCTTAGAAAAGCGCTTTTTAATTAATCAGTGCCTGAGCCAATCTCAAACTGATCCCTCTCTTGGGAGGTCATTTGAAAGCCCTAGACTGTACAGTTCTAGGCATCTGCATGGAAGTCTTGGGATAAGATAATAGATGGCTGGAATCTGAAACCCCAGATAGCAGTTAATTTTGTCTAAGATTCCCCATTTTTGAAGGGGACACCCAGAGCCCAGAACCCCTAATAAAATTCACATCCTACTTTCCGCATTCTTCTGAAATGATTCTCTCCCAGAGATGCTGTAGATTCTTCTGTCTGGCAAAACATAGAGCATCAGTATTTTAGCTGCAGCAGATGAGTCTTAAAAACAGATTGGGAAATATAACCTACCATAGGATTTTATATCAGGAAAAGAGGGCCAGCAATTCCCATCTGATTAGTGACAGTTATGACTGCATTAAACCTCATTTTTGTATGCTGAGAATTATTCCAATACAGAGTGGGTTGGATCTTTTAGCTTTTGAAGTCACACCCCAGTGACATGCTTTATTCCCCAGCACAGCTTTGAGGAATAGCCTGGAAACACAATCTTTCAGCTTTACTTTTCAGTAGTATGGATGTTAATAATCAGCTTTACCTGGATTTTCAGAAGATGAGTCTGATAAGGTTCTTCAGGACAATTGTTATCTTCCTCAGCCTTTGAGATCTGAATCTCCAAATATAACATATAAGTTATCTCCATGCAGGCTTTCTTGTTTTCATTTTTTTATTTAAAGAAAGTAACCCTTAAAAAAAAGTGTCATAGATGCTCTAGGAGTTCTTACTAAGAGATAGTTATCTAAAGCCTGCCTTAACATAGAAAGCAGAAATTTTACTATTCGCTAACAATACCAAAATTGAACAACCTTAATATCCTGTTCTCAGATGACTATCTTGGAGGGTTTCTTCTTCATGGGAGCCCTTGGTATTGTGCTGGAGGCAAACTTTTTTTTCCCCTTAATGCCTTTTGAAATGAAGCTTAAGATAAAGCACATGTTTTAAAAGCTATCTGTGATTGAAAAACCTTCACCCAAGGTAACTCTATATTGCAAGGTGTGGAAGAAGAACCAATGGTTGTACAGAACTGCACTTTCAAGAATCCCTTCCAGTTGGCCAGGCTGACTAGATTTCCACAGCTCTGCTGCATTGTAATGGCCTATGGCAGTGTTTCTCAACCTTGACAACTTTAAGATGTGTGGACTTCAATTCCCAGATTCTAGGAGTTGAAGTCCACACATCTTAAAGTTGCCAAGGTTGAGAAACACTGGTCTAGTTACATGACAGCTGTGTTAATTTGAATAATGCAAGTATATAGGTATTTTGATATCAAAACCAATTATCTAATATGAGCGTGTGCTAGGAGCTGCCCATAGAAGCATGTCATGTTGCCTGATCAACAAAATATAATGTATCTTTTTCATAACACTAGAGCCCAACAAATTATTTTTCTTTGTACTTAGCCTTCAGATACAGGAACTGCTTCATGGAGTCTCTTCCATAAGCACTACATGGCTGCAAGCGTGGCACTGTTTGTGCTCAAAATAATGTCAGCTAATGTGGATCAGCTTAATTTTCTAAATTGTTTACAATTACAATGAGATAATTACAATTATCTGAAAAGATAAGCCTTTCTCCTACTTTCCATATAGTCTACTCTGGTCTTCTTGTCCTAATTTCTTCTCATATATTTGAGTCTTTCTTATTCAGAGCATAAGTTATCTGAAATGCCACCTGATTATGTATTATTCAGAAAGTCAACTTTTCCTCTTATTAATTATATTTCCATATTTCCTTTGTAGTACCTATGATTACTATGCTGCATATGATTTTGTTTTTTGGAATTGCTGCCTTTTTAATGCTGGCTATTACGGTCATCCTTTCTAGAAGGTAAGATATTATTCTGTACTATGGTGGAGTGCACACAGTATGCTATGAACCAAAAATCTGTATGCTGACATGATTTCTAAAGCTTTTTTCTGTAGAATATCAAGTTAACGTCATGCTGATTTCCATACAAGGCGGGATAAGGATGTTGTATTCTCTGGAAGTTGTTCCAGTTGGCATAAAAGCATTTAGAGGAATCTATTTTGCTGATTTCTGCCAAGGAAAACTCTTTTTCCATGCCTCAATTTGCAGCAATTGGTTGAAAATGTTCAATTACAAGTTAGTTAATGGACCTTTGCAAACACATAAAATGTGGCTTTTGTTCCAGGTTTATCTCTTTCAGACTTCCCTTCTGAAATTGTCTATATATGTATAGATGTCTGAAATGTACATATGTATATGTCTGAAATCTCTCTCTCTCTCTCTCTCTCTCTATATATATATATATAGTGTGTGTGTGTGTGTTTCAATATAATAAAAGTATACAAAACAAAACAAAAAAAGAGAAAGTAAGATTAAGAGAAAAAGAAAGGAATTAAAAAAAACAACATAGAATTACTGTATGCTTTCCTCCCTTCTTCCTATCGAGTAATAATCACCTTAATCTTTTCCCCGTTCTTTTCATCCATTCTTAATCCCCAAATCCAAAAATCATCAATTCAATCTTTTCTTTCAACAAAAAAGTCCATATAAGGTTTCCAGTCTTTCAAAAAAGTCTTTGTCGGAAAGTCTGAAATTGTTCTTGATGGTAGGGATACCAAGAGAAACTGTTATGCCACAGATTTCAGTTGAAGTTGATTTGTGTAATATGTTTGCTCACCTACACATCCTGATTTAGGTGTGCAAAATAAAATAATTTAAATTTTAAGTTTAGCAATGATAGTATTAATAGTATTAAAAAAATTAATAGTAATTTTTTTGTGTTACCAGAAAGAGGAAAAGGATTAAGATGATGAGAGACCACGTAGCTTCTCGTAGACAGGTAAGTGCAGATGGAGATTGTTTGTTGGACTCTTTTTAAATCAATTAAATCATTGTAGGCAATATGGAAACAGTATTTTTTACAGCTGCACCAGTTACAATGTCAAACTCCTAACATCAGCACATGACCAAGGAGATTCACACAGAGTCTCATTAATCCGGTTTAATATAAAGAAGAAAGGGTTAGATAAGTATATACTAGACCTCACATTAGGGACTTCATTAAGGCAAAGGTCTCTTGATCCTTTTTGTCACAGTCTTCTGAATAGATGAACTAACAGCCTGCTTAAGGAGTAAGACTGAAATATTCTTGTGGTCCTTATATAACGTGTTTAGGACATCTCTTTTCTTTCCTGGACTCAGAGAATCCCATTACATTTGGTGCTTGGATGAAGAGGGGCATCTGATTTAGGATAAATTTTTGTGTCAGAAAAGTAGTTGTGCATTTTAGGTTCGAGAGCTGCTTCAAACAGGATCTCATTTGGGGGAGCAGGCCTCCAGATATCTGTTGCAAGGAACAATGGCAAGAGTTGACATGTCTCCAATTTCTACTTTGGACCATCAGAGGCACCTGGATGGACAGTGGGCTAAGCAAGGCTTAGTGGCGTGATCCAGCAGGGCTATTCTTATGGTCTTAGGATAACACTTCGAAAGACAAACAATTGTCTGAAAAGCAAAGTGGTGAATCTCTGGCACTTTTCAAACTGACCCATGGCAATTACTAAGATGCTTACAAAACCAAGTATTGTTTTACTTATTTCTAGAATGGCATTATAAGTGAGAATTTATAGGTCACACAGAACATCAGAGGTTCTATTAAGAATTTTCTTGCTTCTCCACAATAGTCATTAGCTGAGCTGATCCTGTTTCATTCTTATTAGGTACCTAAATATTCAGCTTTTGATGCTTGTCCGGTTGGTAGCTTCACAACTATATTAGCCTGAAGGGCTGAGGATTTGGCTTTGTTCACTCAGTCTTTTAATTTCCAACAGAGGAAAAACAGAAGAATCAGTTGCAACTGAAATCTTTCTTCCATTCTTGGGAAAAGAGAATATTAAGTTGGATGATTTCCATGCACTGACACAACAATGAACAGGGCAGAGGTGGTGGTGTAGCGATTGTCATCCGGAAATCTGTTATGGCTTTCAGGGGTGCTGTTCCAGGCCACCAGATGTGAGAGCCTGTTCATTAAGTTGGGCTCTAAGGAACAGTTGGGATTGTTGCTGTTGTACCAGCCTCCCTGCTGCACAGCAACCTCCCTGCCTGAGCTCGATTCCATTTCTGGGCTGGTGATGGACTTCCCCAGACTTCTAGTCTTGGGGGATTTTAATCTGCCTTCTCTAGAGGTTTGAGATGGCTTAGGAGTTCATGGCCACCATGATGGCCATGGGCCTATCCCAGATTATTCAGAGCCTGACATGGGACAGTGGTCACACACCTGATCTGATGTTCCTGTTGGAGCAATGGTTACGTGTTCTGAAATTGAGGGAGCTCTCAGTGTCTCCCTTGTCATGGTCAGATCACACCCTGATTACCATAGAATTCTCTAGTGCCACCGTCCACTGCAGGGAGGTTGGACCCATTAGATTGGTCCACCTCTAGTGACTGATGGACCTTGATGGGTTTCAGATGGAGCTGGGGTTTGTTCCTGCTGGTCTGCTGCACGGTCCATCGTGCGATCTGATCAAAAGCCTTGGTTGCTCCTTGGAATAGGGTAGTGACCAAAGCTTTGGATCAGATTGCGCCGATGTGACCTCTCCTCTCTTGTGGATCCCGTCACTCCTCATGGTTCACGGAGGAGTTGAGGAGTTGAAAAGAGAGATGTCTAGAGTGTTGCTGGTGCTCAACAAAGGACAAACTCAACCGAACATGCGCTAGAGCTGCTATTAAGCCCTACCTTGTAGCGATAAGGGCGGTGAAGCATCAGTACTTGTCCATCCTTACTACATCTGTGGATTGCCATCCCATGGCCCTGCTTCAGGTGACACATGCCCTCTTGGGTGGAAGGGGCTTGGATAACCTCTTGCAAGGGTGTGTGGAAGAATGTGTTCAGCATCTATCAGACAAAGTCTCTCAAATTCACTTGGAGTTGGATACCAGCCCTGTTGCAGGTCTGGAGTAGAGGAGTCTTGCCCAGTTATCTGGGATTGGTTTGAACCTGTTGAGCCTGAGGAAGTGGATTGCAGGTGGGCAGCACTGTGTTGTGCTGGTCCATTTCCTTTCCCCAGGGTCAGTTCCAGTCGCTGGTGATTACGGAGGAGAGATCTCACCCTCAGCCCTTACTATGTGGGGTTTGGTGCTCTCTCTGCTCCTATTCAACATCTACATGAGGCTGCTGGGTGAGATCATCCATCATCATGGGGTGAGGTATCATCAGTACACTGATGATGCCCAAGTATACATCTCTGCCCCTAGAGAATTAAATGATGCTGTGGACATCTTATCTTGATGTCTGGAAGCTGTGAGGGGCCGGATGGGGAAGAACAGTCTTCAGCTGAACCCTGGCAAGACTGAACTGCTTTGGGTTTTAGGCCCTGCCGGTTCTAGGACTATGCCATCTTTGGTGCTGGATGGGGTTGTACGGATCCAGACAGACCTGGTGCACAACCTGGGGGTCCTCCTGGACTCACAACTCCTGCTCAAGGAGCAGGTGTTGGTCATGGCTAGGAGGGCCTTTGCACAGCTTCATGCTGTGTGACAGTCGTGCCTGTTCCTGGATCAATGGGCTCTGCTCACAGTCACCCATATCCAAGTCACCTCCCAAATGGATTACTCAGCTTTTTATATGGGGCTGCCCTTGAAGGGTATCTGGAAGCATCACCTTCTGCAGAATGCAGTGGCATGGGCAGTTATGTGTGCTTCTAGAACAGCTCATGTTACACCTCTGCTCTGCAAGCTGCATTGGTTGCCAGTCTGGTTCTAGGTCCAATTCAAGGTGCTGGTTTTGACCTTTAAAGCTCTTCATGGCATGGGGCTGGGTTATTTGAGGGACTGCCTCTCCCCGATTACATCTGCCTGTCCCATCAGATCTGGCAAGAGAGACATGCTATAGGTCCAGTCAGTCAGGGAACTACTTTACCTGTATGCCTATACATTTGCTAATAACATATTCAAATGAGCGTGCCAACTATGGATCAGCAGCATTTTTGGGCATCCACAGAATTGTGTGATTGCATATGAAGGCAAACCACATTTTTAAAATTCACCAGAAATCTCATACAGAAAGCTCTTGAATGAGAATGCTGAAATGTCATGCCATTTGTAGCCATTTTAATTTTTAAATGCATTTTTATTTGATTTGTAACATCTGCAAGTACAAGATCTGGTGCATACTAGGAATATGTGCAAAGTCCTAGCTTGTACTATTTTAGGCCTTTTTAAAATTAACTCCTACAATAAGTATTAGGGTTAAGTCAGTTCCTAGTTTCAACCTTTATTTTGATATGATGCTTCTCTGTGACTCTTTTGAGCTTGAAGACAGTGTGTTGTATAGTTTTTTCTTGATAGAGTTCAGCTATCTTCATGGCGAAAGGCAACTGGCTTAATAATATTCTTTAGTTTGGTACATGATCTGGATTTGGCGGTTGGATAATTCCCTGAAATTCTTTGGCTGGGGTCATACATCACCTTAAGTGATAATGTGATTTGCTTGGTTTTGGTTCAACATGTATGAACCCAACCAATTATGGCTTATTATATAAACCTCAGTTAAGCAAATTATGGTTTAGCAGTACATGTGAATCTTATGTACATCTCATCTACTCTCTTCTCTTTAATGTGTACATTAACATGCACGGATACTATTGTTCTAACTGTAACCCTTAAAATGCAGTATGAAGAAGAAAGTTTGCCTCTGTTGTGAGCATCTCTGTCTGAAGGAGTCCTTTTTTGCTGTTTCTTCATCACTATCTTCTATTTCTTTCCTTTGTAGCTTCCGTATCAACACAAAAACTGCGCTGATCACAGCTCAGCAAATGCAAGTCAAAATCCAAGTTCTACAGAAACAGAGGAGCCAATATATGTCAACTGCAAACAGATGAAGCAAATGTGAGCCTACTGCCTTGTATATCAATGAACTACCTCAACTCATGCCATTGATCTTTGGGATTAGTATCAGAATATACCAAGATAATCATGGAGATGAGGTGGGTTTTTTTTTACCAAATAAATCAAGAAAAGCATAAAACAGGAAATTAAAAAAAAAACTCTGCTTTTTTCCTCAGATGCAGTGAGGATGTACAGTATATGTTTCTGGTATTATATCTAAGTTTTCAAAAACACTGTTAACAATATGACATGGAATGAAAACCTACTGTGCTAAACAGAACTGACAGGATCCAGCCCTTCAGAAGCATACCCAGGAGATGGGATGTGGTATCCCACTAAATATGGTGTCCTTCCTCCCTTCCTAATCCTAACCCATAACATGCCATTTACAAATCTCTGTCCCAGGATATGTGATAGCAAAATACATATCCTACTCACCCAGTTGCAAAGTGCACTTCTTATGAATATTTTTCTCTAATCCACCCAGAAGGCAACCCAGAATGGATATAGTTCTTATGATGGTTTATGCAACATTCTTGATAAATATATATGCAGAAGTTGACTGGAGTCAGGAGACATCCAAATTGAATGAATGAATGAATGAATAAATAATTTAGTTAACATTTTTCATGCACTGATGATGCAACTATTTGTGAACATCTTTGTTTTAACTTATGTATTAATAAATAATACCATGTAAAATCAACTCACTATGCTTCAACACGGTGTAATTTTGTTTTCTTATTGTTAGCACAACATTGAAGCAGAAGCTTACTTTTAAAGAGAGTGAGCTTCCAAACAGGGGTGCTGTCAAAAATACTGTAACTTTGATTCAGCAGTTCTGTCAATAAGATGATCCTATGTTATATGAGAGCAGTAGTTGAAATCTGTATCTGAGGGAAGGGGAAGAAAACTCATCACCAAAGGTTTAGGTATGACAAAATTAATCAACATAAACCAGTCATTCTAGATAGTGGGGCAAAGGCCAGCAAGAACCAGGAAACTCAAATAGAGGAACCAATCAGGAGCAAGTTTCCCTTTCAGGTGGGCTTTAAAAAGAGGATGGAAAACCTCCACTTTGTGTGGGTTTCAGGTGTTCCACCCTGAGAGGACTTTTCTTCTTGGACTAGCATCCTAACAGGAAGAGATCTGGAGAGAAAGAAGGAAATAGCCATGTGGGAAATACGGAGATAGATGCAAATTAGATCCTTTTTAAAAAACCTGTACTCTGGATTCATCTGAGCTGCTTCTTTGTATCCTTGGTCCTATGTCATTCTGGTGTGTGTGTGTGTGTGTCCGTGTGAATTCCTGCTCAAAAGATTAAAGCCTGCAAGATTTCCTTTTTTCCCATTGTCATAAATTCTCAATTAGGTCTAAACTTAATCTACATAACAAATTACCTGTATCTTCTGTAGAATCAGTAGTCTCATTCTGACAGGAAATTTATCTTGCCATGCATCCCAGCTACTCTGCTAACTCCAAAAAGGAGTTCAGAAAACCAGTTTTTTTCCTTTTCTGTAAAAGAGTGGTTGATAACTGTGACTAAACAGACTTTGGCCAGGATTTTGGGAGGGTGTAATTGTAGGGATTATAGGTTAGGAGACTCACTGGGGGAGCCAGAGGGCCTAACATCCCATGTACCAGTGCATTTATGTGCAAGCACATGCTCCATTACAATATCACTAAGATCACATCAGATATGAAGCAAAATTCTGCTGCAGTCCCATCTCTTAGCTGCAGCCCCTTTAGAACACGGGCAGGCATCTTGCTTCCTTCTACCGAGATAATAAACTACAACTTCCAGGCACTCTCACTACTGGCTATGCTCTTGATACAGGCTGAGGACATTCCCAAGATCAAAAAGAGGTTGCACTCGTTTCTGAAGGGCCTGAGTTGATTTGGTCTTGTGAAGTCAGTGTAGACAGTATTCTGACAAATATTGGGTGTAATCCTGACTATTCTTTCTAAGCCAGGGCCACGCAACATGTCTGGGTCCTGTGCTCTAAGCAAGTTAATTTAATGGAATTAAAACTAAATTAATTAAACACAGCAAATATGATTAGGCCCCAAATCATTCAACAGATTTTGTCCCCTGCTACAGTAAAATTATAGTTTGCTACCAGCGTAGGTCCATAGCAGAAGTTTTGAGTGGTCACAAATGGCTACTTGGGCTGTGTTGTCATGTTCAAAATCTCAGATATTCTGTTCATAGCATGACGTTGCAAGAATTCCCAGAATTTCTTGTCCCGCTTTCACAACATCATAGTGGCACAGCGATACAGTACCCCTTATACACATTTCTTCATATATAGCCTTTTCCAGCCCCATGCCCTTTAGATACATTGGAATTGGATTCTTACCATCCTAAGACAACTCTTTTCCTAACATAATTCTAGTTTTGTTAGGTGGATGGCTTTTGTTCCAAAATGTTGAGCTTCATGGAGAGGGCAAATTACACACTACATCTTGGTACTTGTTTAATCTGGTTTAATTCAAATTTCATAGATGGTTTGGTTCACAGGGAAAACTGGATCATCACATCACACAGAGCAGAAGAGCAGTGTATTTAACTCTTTCCATTAATAGAACAAGAAACAACAGTAAATGTATCATTCTGTCAAGACAGCACATCAGTGAACAGTAGCTGAATGCCATTTAAACCACAAAATCCTGCTTCTGCCCCAAATACCCTTAAATAACTTTCATCCACTCAAGGTGGCGGAAGCCTCTCTTTAAGAATCAACAGCATCTTAGAGAAATATATATGGCTCACAATTTTCTCCTCCAAAATTATTAACTTTATTAACATTGTACATTGTGAATTTTGAAATGGTTGAAAAAGCAAACCAACATGGGGAAGGAGAAGGTGAGGGTTGATCGATGATCATAGTGTTCACTGAGTGTTATGAGAACCTCATCTGGGAAACAAGCTGGAAGAGGGGATGACAACTAGGTTTGCCCTGTATCAAAAAACAGCAAAGATCAGGCAAGAGGTAGGAAGGCAGTTTGTGTTAACCCTAGTTGATTCCAATATTAAAACTTCACAGCATAACTGAAAACCAAATACTATAATTACTAGACTGGACTAGTTAATTGTGAATAGCAACCATTCTAAAATGCCTGTAGTCACTAAGAAAAATTTAGAGTCCATTCCAAAGCATACCCTACAGGTGTCAGAAAATCCTTATTATATCATATACAGAGTTGTTTGTAAATATTCTCCTAAAAATAAGGATAGGGGATCTTATTTAGATTGAGACTAAAACCTTCTGTTCCATTTTTTACCTGGATCAGGAGTGGTGATGGTGGGATATTGGTGCAAAGCAATTAACTTCTTTCAATAACTCAGATTTACATCTTCAAGATGATGTAACATGATCATTATTCATTTCAATGTTTAGATTCCCTTTTACAGACTTATCATTTTTATGCTTTGGTTTGATCAGCAGTTGGTTTTGGTGATCACCGCAGAATGCTCAGTGAAGTCTTCAGTCTGTGAAACCATTAAATCTGGCATGCAAAGATGCATTTAACATTAGGTACAGAATATTCTAGATCATCTACATGAAATGGGGAAACATCTTCTCCCCAGGACTGTCCTTTCAGATTCAGTTTTGTTATGATCATATCATAATTGTTCTCTTAATACTGTAATGCAATTGTTTTATATATTTTTTTATGTTAATGGTCTCGGGACACCACAAGTGTCATGCAGAATTTCTTGAAAAGAAAAGTGCAACCAAATAATTTTGAGAGTATCCCTTTTGAATACTCTAGAAATAGATCAGCCTTGAAGGTTAGATTTAAAGAATTGTAACAGGGTACTCAAGCAATATGTCTACCTGCCTGTCAGCTAGGAAACTATGTGCAGTGGAATAAATGTTGTTTCCCTTGGGTGAATGGCAAACTGCAAGGCTGTGTTAGACATGCAGGGCTGTATAGTATACTAAACGCATCTGTGATTTGCACTGTTGCTTTGCCTTACTCATCTGGATACACCCCCCCTCCCCGTTTAGATCCTAGTGCACATACTTTGTTTTCTTTTTTATATGAAACCTTGATTTTGAAGCCTTGAGAAAGCAACTGAGAAATTGGGTAGCTTGTATCTTTTTATAATTTAGCTCAGGTAAGGGAATTTCACAGCATGCCCATTCCTGTAGATTTTTAGAAATTACACATTTTGTAAAATGTCACTATTACAGGAGATGTTATACATAAATAAATTATGACATTACTTGGAGGGCTATTACAATCAAACATACACACATACCTTTTTTGAACAGCTTGCATTAGGTCGACTTTTCCTAATTGTTACTGTATAGGAGTGTTAGAACTGCAGTCCTTAGGCAGTATGGGAAGGCTAGCGGGAATTTGGGGAACTACAGTCCTAACATATATGAAAGACACCAGGTTGGAGAAAGCTGCATTCATGGCATTTGCATGTTTCTGTACCTGTTGCGTTGATCTTTGTTGGAATCTAGCTGAAGTTCACCTTCCTAACAATTCTGAAAAGGATGTGTAATGGATCGATGAAAGCAGGTTCTGACAGTGAAAACTCACAGAATTATGCAACGAAAGTATAGGTGACTTTTCTGAGTATACTCATGGTAAAAGAAAGAAGAGCAGCAATCTGGATTATTTCAAAAATTGATCTATAGAGGCAATCCTGTTTTGGGATATGAAATCATTTCATGGGGCAGAAGTAATTTTGTGTATTTTTTCCCCCTTAAGTTCAAAGAATACTTTTTTGGATGAGTATAATTCATACATAGTGACATTGACTAATACACTAATTATTCCACAATGTGATTTCATATTGAAATTGGCAAATGAATGATCAGAGCTACAGGAGAAGACTGTATGTTAGCACAACCTGGAACAGTAATTTTGCATTGTTGTGGTAGGTAGCTCATCATTCTTCTGCGGAGGAAGTTGTTCTCTCTAGTCAGTGGAAACATGGTGGGTAAGATAAAAGAAAATAAGTGAAAGAGATGCAGACATGGGGGGAAGAGTGATTAATTTCATCCGATCACACACTGGTTTCATTCAGCAGCTCTTCACTGAGGTGTATAAGCCTGCAAGGGATTAGACTGCAGGAAAAGCTTGGGGAAGAAAAATCTTCCACTCTAATGTATTAGTAAATGTTTAATTGAAGTAGACATTTCTTTCACACCATTTATAAAAAATAAATAAAAACAAACTTCTTTTCATCAAACTGTGATAGATAAAACTTGGTCTTACTGTGGGGTGGGAAGCTTGACTCTCTTCCTTTCAACATGTTCTGTGCTGGTTTGATAAAACAATGAAAAACAGGAAATTCAACTATGGAACAGTCTGCTGGCAGTGAATTATTTTTGACAATTGTTTACTATATCTCTGTTTTAACAACATTTATGGAGACTGAAAGATATGGGACAGGAAAATTCCTTTTTGCTTTCATTTTTAAGTGTTTTACCATGCCTGTCCCTCAACTGATATCTTATACATCTCATTTTATGTACAAAGTGAGTGCTATTTCATCTTTTAAATGGGTGGGGACCCTACTTGATTCTTTTCTATGCAATTTATTTTTAAGTCACAATGTTTAGTAATAATTTAGGGCTTCCCAAAAGTAACATTTTGAGCGTATGCATGTGGGGGAGAAGATCCATACATTCCGTGTGCTC